ATGATTTTATGGGCCCGGGACATGCAGCGCTGGGATGAAATGTCTTTAATGGAGGGAAGAGGAGCCCCGATGATCTTCTCTGCTGTTCTCACCACTCTCCTCACCTTCTTCCAGTCGAGGCACTGCAGCCTCCACACCACACAGTGAGACAGCTGGTCAGAATGCTCTCTATGGTGCTTCTGTAGAAGATGGGGAGGATGGGTGGGGGCAGGTGGGTTCTCCTCATCCTCTGCAGGAAGTAAAGGTGCGTCTGTGCACTTTTGATCAGTGAGGTGGTGTTTACATTCCAGGTTAGGGTGTCTGTGATGTGCACCCCCAGGAATTTGGTGCTGCTGAGCACCTCTACAGCTGGGCTGCTGATGAGCAGTAGAGGTGGTCAGCAGGACCAAATTCAGAGAACACAGTCTAGCACCAATTCCTAATTTAATCCCATAGAGTTTATGGTCTGTAAAGAGTGCATCCAAAATGCTTCCCTTTGGAAGAAGAGTTTATCTGCGTCACTTCCTCTTTTAGGAACAAGTAGTTCCCAGACATAATAATTCCAGGAAGCAGTTGATATAAAACACATCACACTTTCCCCATACATAAAAAAAAAAAATGTAGTTTTCCTTCAGTTGCATAATTATGCACTACTTTTTGTGGTCCATCACATAAAATCTCTAAAACCTACGGAAACCTTTGAGATTGTTGGATGAGAATGTGGGAGAGTTCAAGTGATGTTATTAGTTTGGCAACAAACTGTCTGTTCTGTTGCTGTTTTTCTCCAGTATGTGATAAAGAAGCTGAATTTAACCACATCGTCCAAGAGGGAGCGACGAGCTGCAGAGCAGGAGGCGCAGCTTCTCTCCCAACTGCGACATCCCAACATTGTGACTTACAGGGAGTCGTGGGAAGGAGACGACCGTCAGCTCTATATAGTGATGGGTTTCTGTGAAGGCGGGGACCTCTATCACAGGCTCAAACAGCAGAAAGGGGAGCTTTTGCCAGAGAGACAGGTTGTGGAGTGGTTCGTCCAGATAGCCATGGCATTACAGGTACAACATATTGGCATACTTAGCTAAAAAGATGGAGTTAACAGACTGGTGTTTTTTTTGGGGGGGGGGGGGTTTGGGAATTTAGAAGTCATTGTTTTTATTGAATCTGCTTTTCAGTATCTCCATGAGAGGAACATTCTCCACAGAGACCTTA